CATGGTCATTTCCTACATGTACGTCTGGTCTTACCATGTGTAAACTCTGGTCCATGATCATTTCCTACATGTACGTCTGGTCTTACCATGTGTGAACTCTGGTCCATGGTCATTTCCTACATGTACGTCTGGTCTTACCATGTGTAAACTCTGGTCCATGGTCATTTCCTACATGTACGTCTGGTCTTACCATGTGTAAACTCTTGTCCATGATCATTTCCTACATGTACGTCTGGGTCTGATCCTAGTGGCTGCAGTTTCCTCGGTTGAATTCCCTCCGACCAATCAGAGAGCGGGGGAGGCGGGTGTTGTAGGTCGGTGTCGGTGACGTCAGAGTTTGTGCTGAATTTGTTCGTTGTAGTTTGTCGTAGAATGCGATAGTACAGGGACACACCCTAGTTGTGTGTCTCAGAGGAGTATTGTGTGTCTCTGTGTGTCAGGGTATGTAATAGTTGTGTGGGCGGCACGGTGGCTGAGTGGATAGCACTCTCGCCTCTCAGCAAGAAGGTCCTGGGTTCGAATCCCGGTTGGACCAGGGCCTTTCTGAGTGGAGTTTGCATGTTCTCCCTGTGTCTGCGTAGGTTTCCTCCGGGTGCTCCGGTTTCCCCTACCACTAAAAATATGTACAATAGGTCTGTGCCTCCTGTACTGGCCCCACTCCCAAAAATAACAATTGTAAACCGCTTTGAGACTCAGATCTGCAGTGAAAAGGCGGTATATAAATAAAGCTTACTTACTACTTACTAAAAAGCTTACTTGTGTGTCTCAGAGGAGTATTGTGTGTGTCTTTCAGAGGAGTTGTCGGAGGAGAACCAGACGGACTACGATGAGGACTTTGTGGAGAGCGCTCTGTCAGATCTGGACGCTCTGACAGCGGGAAGCGAGTTCACAGAAGGAGAGGAGACTGTGAGGACGCACACACACACACACGCACACACACACACACACACACGCACCCACGCACACAGACACACACACACACGCACGCACACACACACACACAGACACACACACACACACAGACAGACACGCACCCACGCACAGACACACACACACACACACACACACACACACACACACACACACACACACACACACACACACACACACACACATTTAATGCATAATACTATTGCTCTGTTTTCAGGACGAGGAATTTCACATCCGCCACAGATTGAAGGAGAGCAGCCAATGAGGAGTGGCCAAAAGCAGGAGCCAATGAGGAGAGGCCAAAAGCAGGAGCCAATGAGGAGTGGCCAATGAGGAGAGGCCAAAAGCAGGAGCCAATGAGGAGAGGCCAAAAGCAGGAGCCAATGAGGAGAGGCCAAAAGCAGGAGCCAATGAGGAGAGGCCAAAAGCAGGAGCCAATGAGGAGTGGCCAAAAGCAGGAGCCAATGAGGAGTGGCCAAAAGCAGGAGCCAATGAGGAGAGGCCAAAAGCAGGAGCCAATCAGAACAGGCCTCATCATCATGTGACGTGTGTCATCTCCACTTTTTAAAATGAATGTTTGAATTATTTTTTAAACGAGGCTTCAGAGTGAAGTGTGTTGCTCAGAGACACAAAGGTTCAGGAGTCGTGGGGATTGAACCCACAGCCATCAGATTGTGAGGGTCCAGACTCGGACTGTGTTTTCCTTCATCTTTACTTTGGCTCCGTCCACCTTCATATAAACTCTGACACTAAACCCTGTCCCTGCAGAAGAACAGCAGCTCCACAGCACGATGCTGCCACCTCCAGCAGCAGGAGAAGAGACAGTTACAGCACTGCTGCGGCTTCTGCAGCGATGAGGCCAACCTACATACTTATGTTTATGTGAACAGCAGAGACTCGGGTAAAGTCAGAGCAGATTATGGACTTGACTCCACCCAGTTTCAGGTTAAATACTGGACTCAGAGCTCTTTACAAAGCTGTCGATTCACCAACACAGATCAGAGAATCAGTGAAACACTCAGAGCCTTTAAAGGCAGAGACCACTGTCCATAAATGTGTCCTCCTTGACTGGCAGCGGATTTTGATGATTTCACTGACTTTCAAGACCCACAGAATATTGTGTGCTATAACTATGGGGAAAATAAATGGCATGAGTTAAGTCCTGTTAAAACATGAGGCTTATATTCAGGTGAGGCTTATACTGTGCCTCTCAAAAGTATTCATACGTCCTGATCATGTTTCAACCATAAAACTATAAACGTCACAGACCAGAGTGAACACTGTGTGGAAGCTCCTTTCTCATTTGGGTTTGACCAGGTCTGCACATCTAGAGACAGGAGGTTTTGCCCATTCCTCTTTACAAAACAACAGTCTGTCAGATGGAGAGCGTAGATGTAGCTTTGTGTTTCTGCTCCTGCTGAAGGTGGATCCTCGCCTCAGTCCTGCTGAAGGTGGATCCTCGCCTCAGTCCTGCTGAAGGTGGATCCTCGCCTCAGTCCTGCTGAAGGTGGATCCTCTCCTCAGTCCTGCTGAAGGTGGATCCTCGCCTCAGTCCTGCTGAAGGTGGATCCTCTCCTCAGTCCTGCTGAAGGTGGATCCTCGCCTCAGTCCTGCTGAAGGTGGATCCTCTCCTCAGTCCTGCTGAAGGTGGATCCTCTCCTCAGTCCTGCTGAAGGTGGATCCTCTCCTCAGTCCTGCTGAAGGTGGATCCTCGCCTCAGTCCTGCTGAAGGTGGATCCTCGCCTCAGTCCTGCTGAAGGTGGATCCTCGCCTCAGTCCTGCTGAAGGTGGATCCTCGCCTCAGTCCTGCTGAAGGTGGATCCTCGCCTCAGTCCTGCTGAAGGTGGATCCTCTCCTCAGTCCTGCTGAAGGTGGATCCTCGCCTCAGTCCTGCTGAAGGTGGATCCTCGCCTCAGTCCTGCTGAAGGTGGATCCTCGCCTCAGTCCTGCTGAAGGTGGATCCTCGCCTCAGTCCTGCTGAAGGTGGATCCTCTCCTCAGTCCTGCTGAAGGTGGATCCTCTCCTCAGTCCTGCTGAAGGTGGATCCTCTCCTCAGTCCTGCTGAAGGTGGATCCTCGCCTCAGTCCTGCTGAAGGTGGATCCTCGCCTCAGTCCTGCTGAAGGTGGATCCTCGCCTCAGTCCTGCTGAAGGTGGATCCTCTCCTCAGTCCTGCTGAAGGTGGATCCTCTCCTCAGTCCTGCTGAAGGTGGATCCTCGCCTCAGTCCTGCTGAAGGTGGATCCTCGCCTCAGTCCTGCTGAAGGTGGATCCTCGCCTCAGTCCTGCTGAAGGTGGATCCTCGCCTCAGTCCTGCTGAAGGTGGATCCTCTCCTCAGTCCTGCTGAAGGTGGATCCTCGCCTCAGTCCTGCTGAAGGTGGATCCTCGCCTCAGTCCTGCTGAAGGTGGATCCTCGCCTCAGTCCTGCTGAAGGTGGATCCTCTCCTCAGTCCTGCTGAAGGTGGATCCTCTCCTCAGTCCTGCTGAAGGTGGATCCTCGCCTCAGTCCTGCTGAAGGTGGATCCTCGCCTCAGTCCTGCTGAAGGTGGATCCTCGCCTCAGTCCTGCTGAAGGTGGATCCTCTCCTCAGTCCTGCTGAAGGTGGATCCTCTCCTCAGTCCTGCTGAAGGTGGATCCTCGCCTCAGTCCTGCTGAAGGTGGATCCTCTCCTCAGTCCTGCTGAAGGTGGATCCTCGCCTCAGTCCTGCTGAAGGTGGATCCTCGCCTCAGTCCTGCTGAAGGTGGATCCTCTCCTCAGTCCTGCTGAAGGTGGATCCTCGCCTCAGTCCTGCTGAAGGTGGATCCTCTCCTCAGTCCTGCTGAAGGTGGATCCTCTCCTCAGTCCTGCTGAAGGTGGATCCTCGCCTCAGTCCTGCTGAAGGTGGATCCTCGCCTCAGTCCTGCTGAAGGTGGATCCTCTCCTCAGTCCTGCTTCTTCCTTCCTCAATACTTTTGTTTATGTGAATGGGCACTGAATGTGGACAAATGTTAAAAGTCCACGTTCTGAACATGTGAGATTTGTTTAGACGCCGCAGACACTGGATCCATCTTTGATCAAAGTGTTTTCTGGACGATAAGCCGCACGTTCATGTTGTATTTCTGTAAAAGTCTGTTTTATTCTTAGTGTGAAGCAGAAAAGAGCAACATCTACTGCTCTCTTTCCACTCGTGTCTGTGCAGATATGAAGACATTAGAGTCTGTAATAAAGTTGAGCTTAAGGGTTGCGCTATTTTTACTTCTTTTGCCAGACACTGAGATTAAAGTCAGAAAATGATGATCTCCAAAACACAGAGACAGTGATGTCACATAACATTTTAATCATTCCATTTCCTCGACACATCTGTGTGTTTCTGCTGCTACAGGATCAAACACAGGATCACCACCACCTTCTAACCCCCACTAAGCCCCGCCCACAAACATCTACCTTTGTCAAGCCCCGCCCACAACACATCAAAGATAAAAACGTCAGAGAAAAAGTCACAGGGTTCAAAATATCCTCCAGTGAGAGTTCTTTATGTAAACGATCGTTTCTTTGAGAAGTGGTCCTGGAACCAGACCAGACCAGACCCAGACCCAGACCAGAGAAGCATCGGCCCCAGACCTGCAGAGCTTTGTGCCTGGGGCGTCATTGTGCCGGGACCAGGCCGGTCTCTCATTGGTGCAGGTCACACTTCATCACAGCTGGAGACGGAAAACAAGAATCAGATTAAGACTCTTTATCCTGGGTCTACAGCCTCAGTCCTGGGTCTACAGCCTCAGTCCTGGGTCTACAGCCTCAGTTCTGGGTCTACAGCCTTAGTCCTGGGTCTACAGTCTCAGTCCTGGGTCTACAGCCTCAGTCCTGGGTCTACAGCCTCAGTCCTGGGTCTACAGTCTCAGTCCTGGGTCTGCAGCCTCAGTCCTGGGTCTACAGCCTCAGTCCTGGGTCTACAGCCTCAGTCCTGGGTCTACAGCCTCAGTCCTGGGTCTACAGTCTCAGTCCTGGGTCTACAGCCTCAGTCCTGGGTCTACAGCCTCAGTCCTGGGTCTACAGCCTCAGTCCTGGGTCTGCAGCCTCAGTCCTTGGTCTTAAGCCTCAGTCCTGGGTCTACAGCCTCAGTCCTGAGTCTACAGCCTCAGTCCTGGGTCTATAGCCTCAGTCCTGGGTCTACAGCCTCAGTCCTGGGTGTACAACCTCAGTCCTGGGTCTACAGCCTCAGTCCTGGGTCTACAGCCTCAGTCCTGGATCTACAGCCTCAGTCCTGGGTCTACAGCCTCAGTCCTGGGTCTACAGCCTCAGTCCTGGATCTACAGCCTCAGTCCTGGATCTACAGTCTCAGTCCTGGGTCTGCAGCCTTAGTCCTGGGTCTACAGCCTCAGTCCTGGGTCTACAGCCTCAGTCCTGGGTCTGCAGCCTCAGTCCTGGGTCTACAGCCTCAGTCCTGGGTCTACAGCCTCAGTCCTGGGTCTACAGCCTCAGTCCTGGGTCTACAGCCTCAGTCCTGGGTCTACAGCCTCAGTCCTGGGTCTACAGCCTCAGTCCTGGGTCTACAGCCTCATTTGTACAAACTTTTAATTTTAAGATATACTTTATTGATCTCACAAAGGAGAAATGTACAACTGATATTTGTCAGACTCACCAGCAGCGGCCCCTACAGGTCTGTGTGCTCGGGCTCGGGTGTGGGTGAGGGGGAGGGTGAGGGGGAGGCGGCGGGCTCCTCAGGGAAGGGGCTGCTTTTGGCCGGAGAGAAGCGGAACTCTTCAGGGACCAACTCCTCTTCATGTTGTTTCTTATAGAAGCCCAGAGTCTGCAGCAGAGAGTTTATCTCTGTGCGAGTCATGTCACTCAGAGGGATCCGCTGAGGGGGAGACGGGGGGAGGGAGACATGGGGGAGAGAGGGAGACACGGGGGAGAGAGGGAGACACGGGGGAGAGAGGGAGACACGGGGGAGGGAGACATGGGGGAGAGAAAGAGAGAGAGGGAGGGAGACACAGGGGAGAGGAAAGGAGGGGAGAGGGGGAGAGAGACGGGAGGGAGAGAAAGGGAGAGAGGCAGGGAGACATGGGGGAAAGTAAAGGAGGGGGGAAGAGGGAGAGAGAGAGACATGGGGGAGCGAAAGAGGGAGAGGAGGAGACAGACGGGAGATAAGAGGAGAGGGGGATAGAGGGGAGCGCAAGATTGGGTAAGAGGACGAAGAGATTGGGAGAGAGGGAGGAGAGGAGGGAGAGAGGAAAGAGAGGCTTCTTTAATACATCATATGAAGCACAGGTATAAATGATGAAGATGAAGATGACTCACCTCCAGCTCTTCATAGAAGTGGTTCAGGAGAACGAGCTCAGGGTCAGCTCCAGGAATGTGCTTCATCACCAGGTTATGGCTCACTCTGGTCAAGGCAAGTTTATTTGTATAACACACTTCACACACACTGACCCCTACAGCGACCTCTGACCCCTGACCTGACCACAGACTGTAAATGTTAAAGGTGTAGTCACTTCTGTCTCCGCCGTTCAAACTAAAGTGACATCACTTTCACTGTCTGTGGCAGTTTCAAAATGGCCGCTGGGAAAATGTGAAAAAACCATAGCACCATTTAATTTATATTCCTTACAGAGTTTTGAAGATGTATGTTGAATGTTGTAATCCCACCCCCAACCACATGATGGCGATCTCACAGGAGTTGCCTGAGAAACCAAAGCGGTCCCATTTACGCTGCTTCTTTCTCCTCTTCAGAACAAAAACAAAGTGAAGCTGTTTGAGATCATTACATGTGTTTCTACTGTAGGTTTATGTGACCGTTCTAAACTCATCGTTTCAACTCATTTAACTGTGATGCTGTGAATAAAGACACAGTTCTGTTGGAAACATAGTTATTATTATTATATATTATATATATTATTACTATATTAGTTATTATTATTATATGTTATATATATTATTACTATATTACAGTTATTATTATATATTATATATATTATTACTATATTACAGTTATTATTATTATATATTATATATTATTACTATATTACAGTTATTATTATTATATATTATATACATTATTACTATATTACAGTTATTATTATTATATATTATATATATTATTACTATATTACAGTTATTATTATTATATATATTATTACTATATCACAGTTATTATTAAAGTGTTTTCAGCACAAACAGCAAAACAATAAGTGGTAAATATCTGAGACAAACATCAACTATTTATAAGAACAGGAGGAACGCAAGTTATATATAAGTTAGATATATGTTAGATATATGTTAGATATAAGTTAGATATATGTTAGATATAAGTTATATATATGTTAGATATAAGTTATATATATGTTAGATATAAGTTAGATATAAGTTATATATATGTTAGATATAAGTTATATATATGTTAGATAGTCCACAGTCTATATCAGGCTCTGAGCCCAAACTACTTTTCCTTTGGTTCCTTCGAAGCACAAAGCTCTCTGCTCCAAAGTGCCTCGTCCATGCTCCTGCAGACGCTTCATGCTTCCTTCTCTCACACACACGGACCAATCACAGCGGAGCTTCTCTCACACACAGACCAATCACAGCGGAGCTTCTCTCACACACACGGACCAATCACAGCGGAGCTTCTCTCACACACAGACCAATCACAGCGGAGCTTCTCTCACACACACGGACCAATCACAGCGGAGCTTCTCTCACACACACGGACCAATCACAGCGGAGCTTCTCTCACACACAGACCAATCACAGCGGAGCTTCTCTCACACACACGGACCAATCACAGCGGAGCTTCTCTCACACACAGACCAATCACAGCGGAGCTTCTCTCACACACACGGACCAATCACAGCGGAGCTTCTCTCACACACACGGACCAATCACAGCGGAGCTTCTCTCACACACACGGACCAATCACAGCGGAGCTTCTCTCACACACAGACCAATCACAGCGGAGCTTCTCTCACACACACGGACCAATCACAGCGGAGCTTCTCTCACACACACGGACCAATCACAGCGGAGCTTCTCTCACACACACGGACCAATCACAGCGGAGCTTCTCTCACACACAGACCAATCACAGCGGAGCTTCTCTCACACACAGACCAATCACAGCGGAGCTTCTCTCACACACACGGACCAATCACAGCGGAGCTTCTCTCACACACACGGACCAATCACAGCGGAGCTTCTCTCACACACGGACCAATCACAGCGGAGCTTCCTTGTGGCGACCCTTACGTAGTTAGAAAATTTTGCGTTGCACAAGTGACGTCACGTCACCTCCGCGCGAGTATACACTAGACTTAAATATTAACGGACAGAGTCTCCGCCGTTCTAACTAATGGGCCAAAAAATTTGCTCTACTGGAGCAATCCAAGATGGCCGCGAGTGGTCCCGCCCACAAGAAAACTGTGAAAAAACACATCTGTGCATGCGTCAGCCGGAGAGAGCTCCATTCATTTAAACGAGAGACTTCTAAAGTCCACAGCGACTAAACTAGACTGGTCCAGAACACTCAGCATTGACACACATGTGGAACGGAGCTTTAGACCTAGAGCCACTTTTGGACCAAGAACCACTTTTGGACCAAGAACCACTTTTGGACCAAGAACCACTTTTGGACCATCCTGTAAAGGCCTGGGGGGTGGTGTTGCAGAATGTCAGGGCACATCATTTTGGAGATTTTTGAGTCAGGACCCGCCCCCACTGGTCTGGACCCACCCACACTGGTCTGGACCCGCCCCCACTGGTCTGGACCCACCCACACTGGTCTGGACCCACCCACACTGGTCTGGACCCACCCACACTGGTCTGGACCCACCCACACTGGTCTGGACCCACCCCCACTGGTTCTGATGTGTCAGACAGATATGATTCACACTGTGGCTGTAATGTGAAAGAGGCAGGCTCAGGTGTGGCTGTCCGCCCCGGGGCAGGCGTGGCTTGGTTACAGAAGGTAACGCTGCCTGAAGAGACACAGTAGAACACTGTAGATTTTATTTCCCTTTTTGCCTGAAGAAAAACCTTCACCAACTTCTTATTGTTTAAAAGTAAATTTAAAGGTTTTATTGTGTTCTGTCGCTGTGAGAGAAGGATACTACAGAGGAATGTCCTCCACCACAAAGGCTTTGACCTGGAGAGAGAGGGAGAGGGGGGAAGAGAGAGAGAGGGGGGAGATAGAGGGAGGGGGGAGAGAGAGAGAGAGAGACACACACAGAGAGAGAGAGTGAGATCATGTGTCAGAAACAGAAGCTGGTTCCTGTGTCCTCACCTCCCGGAGTCGGTTCAGTTGTCACCCTCCACAGCTCTGCAACAAAACACACTTTGGTCAATCTCCACAGCAGGATGCTGCCCCCTGCAGGATGCTGCCCACAGCAGGATGCTGCCCCCTGCAGGATGCTGCCCCCTGCAGGATGCTGCCCCCTGCAGGATGCTGCCCCCTGCAGGATGCTGCCCACAGCAGGATGCTGCCCCCTGCAGGATGCTACCCACAGCAGGATGCTACCCCCTGCAGGATGCTACCCCCTGCAGGATGCTACCCACAGCAGGATGCTGCCCACAGCAGGATGCTGCCCCCTGCAGGATGCTGCCCCCTGCAGGATGCTGCCCCCTGCAGGATGCTGCCCCCTGCAGGATGCTGCCCCCTGCAGGATGCTGCCCCCTGCAGGATGCTACCCACAGCAGGATGCTGCCCCCTGCAGGATGCTGCCCACAGCAGGATGCTGCCCCCTGCAGGATGCTGCCCCCTGCAGGATGCTGCCCCTGCAGGATGCTGCCCACAGCAGGATGCTGCCCCCTGCAGGATGCTGCCCCTGCAGGATGCTGCCCACAGCAGGATGCTGCCCCCTGCAGGATGCTGCCCCTCGTTTAACCCAGGGGTGTCCAAACTTCTGAGTCACAGCTGTATAACAGTCACAGCTGTATAACAGTCACAGCTGTATAACAGTCACAGCTGTATAACAGTCACAGCTGTATAACAGTCACAGCTGTATAACTGTCACAGCTGTATAACAGTCACGGTTGTATAACAGTCACGGCTGTATAACAGTCACAGCTGTATAACTGTCACAGCTGTATAACAGTCACAGCTGTATAACGGTCACAGCTGTATAACAGTCACTTAAGACATATTTGTTTTTACAAATACAACGGTGCATGACTTTATGGGTGGAGCTGGAGTTGGCTGGATGACACTGAAGAAGCAGCTCAAAGGCCTCATCAAACAACACTGTTTGGAAATGTCTGTTTTAACAAATGTAAATGATATTAAATATCCATCCATCCATCCATTTTCTTCGGGTCGGGGGGGTGGCAGTCAGAGCTGCACCCAGTCACAGAGCACCAGCCCCTCACTGTTCCCCCTGCAGGTGGTGAGTCCACAGGAGCTGAGATCTTTCAGTGGGGGCTTCGGGCATGATATTAAATATATAATAATATAATAAATATTGTAGACAGTTGTTATGGACTTCATCATGTGTCTCTGTCGTTAACTTTGAAACCAGGATAAGATCAGGATAAAACCAGGATAAGATCAGGATAAAACCAGGATAAAACCAGGATAAGATCAGGATAAAACCAGGATAAGATCAGGATAAAACCAGGATAAGATCAGGATAAAACCAGGATAAGATCAGGATAAAACCAGGATAAAACCAGGATAAGATCAGGATAAAACCAGGATAAGATCAGGATAAAACCAGGATAAGATCAGGATAAAACCAGGATAAGATCAGGATAAAACCAGGATAAAACCAGGATAAAACCAGGATAAGATCAGGATAAAACCAGGATAAAACCAGGATAAGATCAGACTCAGGGAAAAGTGAGACTTGTCTTTGTGCGAATTCAGGACACAGACAAAGAACGACACAGATACGGGCCGCACGGTGGCTGAGTGGTTAACACTCTCGCCTCTCAGCAAGAAGGTCCTGGGTTCAAATCCCGGTTAAAAGGGCCTTTCTGAGTGGAGTTTGCATGTTCTCCCCGTGTCTGCGTAGGTTTCCTGCAGGTGCTCCGGTTTCCCCTACCACTAAAAACATGTATGAGGTGAATGAGTGTGTGTTTAGTGGTAGGAGAAACCGGAGCACCTGGAGGAAAGCTTTGCAGACGCAGGGAGAACATGCAAACTCTGCTTCAGACCTGGTTTATGCAGTATGTATCCATATATATTATACTATATACTATACTAATATATATTATACTAATATACTATACTAATATATATTAGTACAGATCCAGTCTGTGTTACCTCCACTCGGGCTCTGGAGAGTCCCTGAAGCTTGTCCGGGTCCAGGGCCGCGGAGCTCTGCAGGAGGAGCAGCAGAGGGAGCACCAGGCCCGCCATGATACAGGAGGAGAACAGGAGGAGCAGCGGAGGAGGAGATCAGGAGGAGCAGCGGAGGAGGAGCGGAAAGAAGCCTCCTGCAGCGTGCCACGTAAACGTCTCTTCCTCAACCGCTCGAGTTACACACAACCCACAACAAGAGGGAGGAGGAGAGGGAGGAGGAAAGGGAGGAGAAAGAGAGAGGGAGCGAGGGAGGAGGGACAGCGAAGGAAGAGGAGGGGGGAGGCTGTGCAGGCCGCTGATTGGCTGAGGGAGCTCGGTCTTGTCTCCGGTCTCACTTCCGTTTCTCTCTCAAAAAGCACGGGTTGTGTCCGGAACTGGCCCCGAACAGAGGTCTCCAGCTGTGGCTCAGGAGCTCACCACTCCCGTTAGCTCCCCAGTAGCTCCCCAGAGCATTTATAGTTTCACACATGGTCCTAAATGACCTCCTCCAGGACCAGCTGCAGTTATTAAAGACTGAGCTCTCATTTCTATTTTAACCAAGTAGCTCCGAGTGAGGGTCCTCCTCCTGCTGTCCTCCTACTCTCCTCCTCCTGCTGACCTCCTGCTGTCCTCCTGCTGACCTCCTGCTGTCCTCCTGCTGACCTCTTGCTGTCCTCCTGCTGTCCTCCTGCTGTCCTCCTCCTGCTGACCTCCTGCTGTCCTCCTCCTGCTGACCTCCTGCTGTCCTCCTCCTGCTGACCTCCTGCTGTCCTCCTCCTGCTGTCCTCCTGCTGTCCTCCTCCTGCTGACCTCCTGCTGTCCTCCTCCTGCTGACCTCCTGCTGTCCTCCTGCTGTCCTCCTCCTGCTGTCCTCCTGCTGTCCTCCTGCTGTCCTCCTCCTGCTGTCCTCCTGCTGTCCTCCTCCTACTGTCCTCCTGCTGTCCTTCTCCTGCTGTCCTCCTCCTACTGTCCTCCTGCTGTCCTCCTCCTGCTGACCTCCTGCTGTCCTCCTCCTGCTGTCCTCCTGCTGTCCTCCTCCTGCTGTCCTCTTGCTGTCCTCCTCCTGCTGACCTCCTGCTGACCTCCTGCTGTCCTCCTGCTGTCCTCCTCCTGCTGACCTCCTGCTGTCCTCCTCCTGCTGACCTCCTGCTGTCCTCCTCCTGCTGTCCTCCTCCTGCTGTCCTCCTGCTGTCCTCCTGTTGTCCTCCTGCTGACCTCCTCCTGCTGTCCTCCTGCAGCAGATGGACCTCCTCTCTCCTCTGGCAGAATTTTTTATGTTATTATTTTAAACCCAACATTAAACATGTGACATCACAGACTCCAGAGGCCTGCTTCTCTCTCTGGTCTCTCTCTGGTCTCTCTCTGGTCTCTCTCTCTGGTCTCTCTCTGGTCTCTCTCTGGTCTCTCTCTGGTCTCTCTCTGGTCTCTCTCTGGTCTCTCTCTGGTCTCTCTCTGGTCTCTCTCTGGTCTCTCTCTGGTCTCTCTCTCTGGTCTCTCTCTCTGGTCTCTCTCTGGTCTCTCTCTGGTGTCTCTCTGGTGTCTCTCTCTGGTCTCTCTCTGGTCTCTCTCTCTGGTCTCTCTCTGGTCTCTCTGGTCTCTCTCTGGTGTCTCTCTGGTGTCTCTGGTCTCTCTCTGGTCTCTCTCTGGTCTCTCACTGGTCTCTCACTGGTCTCTCTCTGGTCTCTCTCTGGTCTCTCTGGTCTCTCTCTGGTCTCTCTCTGGTCTCTCTCTGGTGTCTCTGGTCTCTCTCTGGTCTCTCTCTGGTCTCTCTCTGGTCTCTCTGGTGTCTCTCTGGTCGCTCTCTGGTCTCTCTGGTCTCTCTCTGGTCTCTCTCTGGTCTCTCACTGGTCTCTCTCTGGTCTCTCACTGGCCTCTCTCTGGTCTCTCTCTGGTCTCTCTCTGGTCTCTCTCTGGTCTCTCTGGTGTCTCTCTGGTCTCTCTCTGGTCTCTCTGGTCTCTCTGGTCTCTCTCTGGTCTCTCTCTGGTCTCTCTCTGGTCTCTCTCTGGTCTCTCTGGTGTCTCTCTGGTCTCTCTCTGGTCTCTCTGGTCTCTCTGGTCTCTCTCTGGTCTCTCTCTGGTCTCTCTCTCTGGTCTCTCTCTGGTGTCTCTGGTGTCTCTCTGGTCTCTCTCTGGTCTCTCTGGTCTCTCTGGTCTCTCTCTGGTCTCTCTGGTCTCTCTGGTCTCTCTCTGGTCTCTCTCTGGTCTCTCTCTCTGGTCTCTCTCTGGTGTCTCTGAGCTGCTGGTTTGAGGTGTGTTATTGTTGTGCCTCTGAGCAGGGGGGGTTTCTCTGAAACAGGAAGTGAGAAGTGCAGCAGTGAGGAGCAGAAGAGGAAGCAGAGCTCAGACTGAACAGACTCAGACGCAGCAGGTACCAGTACTTTATACTTATATTTATATTTATATTTCTTTAATATTTATGTTTACGATATATTTACTTAATGTTTATCTTTACTTTATGTTTAGAATCAAACTGTTCGAACAATAATCACAGAAATAAGTGAGAAACATGGCCTGTCTCTCTCTGGTCTCTCTCTGGTCTCTCTCTGGTCTCTCTCTGGTCTCTCTCTCTGGTCTCTCTCTGGTCTCTCTCTGGTCTCTCTCTGGTCTCTCTCTGGTCTCTCTCTCTGGTCTCTCTCTGGTCTCTCTCTGGTCTCTCTCTGGTCTCTCTCTGGTCTCTCTCTCTGGTCTCTCTCTGGTCTCTCTCTGGTCTCTCTCTCTGGTCTCTCTCTGGTCTCCCTCTGGTCTCCCTCTGGTCTCCCTCTGGTCTCCCTCTGGTCTCTCTCTGGTCTCTCTCTGGTCTCCCTCTGGTCTCTCTCTGGTCTCCCTCTGGTCTCCCTCTGGTCTCCCTCTGGTCTCCCTCTGGTCTCCCTCTGGTCTACCATGTTGCAGACAGGTGTGGTGTGTTGGGGTGAGGAACCTGAGGCAGATCAAAGAATCAACAGTACAGACACAAAATAACTCTAGAACACATGGTATTGGTCCATGGTGTCATCGTACCATGAAACAGACAATGGGACAACGGGTGAATAGCAATGAACAAACTACAGTCAAAATCCTAATAATGCTAAACAGATAAAGTAGGAAGGAGGAGAGGATAGTGCAGTTACCATACTTCTCCAGCAGGGGGCTCCATACGCAGCTGAGGAGTTTAACCTTCTCCGAGTCTTACCTTCCTAGCCATATGCTAAACTAAAGAGGACTGTTTTAAACCTAGCCTTGAATGTGACCAGTGTGGGCGGGTCCTGCCTCAAAAGTGGCCAAAATGACGTGCGCTGACATGCTGCAGTACCACCCCGGGCCTGTGGGGGTGGACCCTGACATGCTGCAATACACCCCGGGCCTGTGGGGGTGGACCCTGACATGCTGCAGTACCACCCCGGGCCTGTGGGGGTGGACCCTGACATGCTGCATACACCCCGGGCCTGTGGGGGTGGACCCTGACATGCTGCAATACCACCCCGGGCCTGTGGGGGTGGACCCTGACATGCTGCAGTACCACCCCGGGCCTGTGGGGGTGGACCCTGACATGCTGCAGTACCACCCCGGGCCTGTGGGGGTGGACCCTGACATGCTGCAGTACCACCCCGGGCCTGTGGGGGTGGACCCTGACATGCTGCAGTACCACCCCGGGCCTGTGGGGGTGGACCCTGACATGCTGCAGTACCACCCCGGGCCTGTGGGGGTGGACCCTGACATGCTGCAGTACCACCCCGGGCCTGTGGGGGTGGACCCTGACATGCTGCAGTACCACCCCGGGCCTGTGGGGGTGGACCTTGACATGCTGCAGTACCACCCCGGGCCTGTGGGGGTGGACCCTGACATGCTGCAGTACCACCCCGGGCCTGTGGGGGTGGACCCTGACATGCTGCAGTACCACCCCGGGCCTGTGGGGGTGGACCCTGACATGCTGCAGTACCACCCCGGGCCTGTGGGGGTGGACCCTGACATGCTGCAGTACCACCCGGGCCTGTGGGGGTGGACCCTGACATGCTGCAGTACCACCCCGGGCCTGTGGGGGTGGACCCTGACATGCTGCAGTACCACCCCGGGCCTGTGGGGGTGGACCCTGACATGCTGCAGTACCACCCCGGGCCTGTGGGGGTGGACCCTGACATGCTGCAGTACCACCCCGGGCCTGTGGGGGTGGACCCTGACATGCTGCAGTACCACCCCGGGCCTGTGGGGGTGGACCCTGACATGCTGCAGTACACCCCGAGCCTGTGGGGGTGGACCCTGACATGCTGCAGTACCACCCCGGGCCTGTGGGGGTGGACCCTGACATGCTGCAGTACCACCCCGGGCCTGTGGGGGTGGACCCTGACATGCTGCAGTACCACCCCGGGCCTGTGGGGGTGGACCCTGACATGCTGCAGTACCACCCCGGGCCTGTGGGGGTGGACCCTGACATGCTGCAGTACACCCCGAGCTAACATGTAGCATTAGCAGACCTCTCAAAAACACCATCCTTTACATCCTTTACAGGATGGTCCAAAATGTGTGTCAATGCTGAGTGTTCTGGACCAGTCTAGTTTAGTCGCTGTGGACTTTAGAAGTCACTCGTTTAAATGAATGGAGCTGCTCCGGCTGACGCATGCACAGATGTGGTTTTTCACAATGTTCTTGTGGGTGGGACCACTCGCGGCCATTTTGGATAGCTCCAGTAGAGCACATTTTTTGCCCATTTGTTTGAACGGCGGAGATAGACTGTAAATATTAACAGACGTAGTCACGCCTCTGATGTGGAGGCCGTGTCCGACCGAAGAAGAGACAGCAGCAGCCACGGCTAGGCTAACCCAGGCTAAGCTAGGCTAGCCCTAGCTAGGCTAACCCAGGCTTGGCTAGCCCTAGCTAGGCTAGCCCAGGAGTGATTTTAACACTAGAGTTATGTGCTCCCACCTTTTGGTCCCTGTTGATAGTGTCATGTACGACTCAATCAAACTTTTAGACACAGAGGAGGAGACAGAGGAGGAGACAGAGGAGGAGACAGAGGAGGAGACAGAGGAGGAGACAGAGGAGAAACTGTAGGAGACAGAGGAGGAGATAGAGGAGGAGACAGAGGAGACAGAGGAGGAGAGAGAGGAGGAGACAGAGGAGGAGACAGAGGAGAAACTGTAGGAGACAGGAGGAGGAGACAGAGGAGGAGACAGAGGAGGAGACAGAGGAGAAACTGTAGGAGACAGAGGAGGAGATAGAGGAGGAGACAGAGGAGGAGACAGAGGAGGAGAGAGAGGAGGAGACAGAGGAGAAACTGTAGGAGACAGAGGAGGAGACAGAGGAGGAGACAGAGGAGGAGACAGAGGAGAAACTGTAGGAGACAGAGGAGAGACAGAGGAGGAGACAGAGGAGGAGAGAGAGGAGGAGACAGAGGAGGAGACAGAGGAGAAACTGTAGGAGATAGAGGAGGAGACAGAGGAGGAGAGAGAGGAGGAGACAGAGGAGGAGACAGAGGAGGAGAGAGAGGAGGAGACAGAGGAGGAGAGAGAGGAGGAGACAGAGGAGGAGACAGAGGAGGAGATAGAGGAGGAGACAGAGGAGGAGACAGAGGAGACAGAGGAGAAACTGTAGGAGACAGAGGAGGAGATAGAGGAGGAGACAGAGGAGGAGACAGAGGAGGAGACAGAGGAGGAGACAGAGGAGGAGACAGAGGAGACAGAGGAGGAGAGAGAGGAGGAGACAGAGGAGGAGACAGAGGAGAAACTGTAGGAGACAGAGGAGGAGACAGAGGAGGAGACAGAGGAGGAGACAGAGGAGAAACTGTAGGAGACAGAGGAGGAGATAGAGGAGGAGACAGAGGAGGAGACAGAGGAGGAGAGAGAGGAGGAGACAGAGGAGAAACTGTAGGAGACAGAGGAGGAGACAGAGGAGGAGACAGAGGAGGAGACAGAGGAGAAACTGTAGGAGACAGAGGAGAGACAGAGGAGGAGACAGAGGAGGAGAGAGAGGAGGAGACAGAGGAGGAGACAGAGGAGAAACTGTAGGAGATAGAGGAGGAGACAGAGGAGGAGAGAGAGGAGGAGACAGAGGAGGAGACAGAGGAGAAACTGTAGGAGACAGAGGAGGAGATAGAGGAGGAGACAGAGGAGGAGACAGAGGAGGAGACAGAGGAGGAGACAGAGGAGGAGAGAGAGGAGGAGAGAGAGGAGGAGACAGAGGAGACAGAGGAGGAGAGAGAGGAGGAGACAGAGGAGGAGACAGAGGAGAAACTGTAGGAGACAGAGGAGGAGATAGAGGAGGAGACAGAGGAGACAGAGGAGGAGAGAGAGGAGGAGACAGAGGAGGAGACAGAGGAGAAACTGTAGGAGACAGAGGAGGAGACAGAGGAGGAGACAGAGGAGGAGACAGAGGAGAAACTGTAGGAGACAGAGGAGGAGATAGAGGAGGAGACAGAGGAGGAGACAGAGGAGGAGAGAGAGGAGGAGACAGAGGAGAAACTGTAGGAGACAGAGGAGGAGACAGAGGAGGAGACAGAGGAGGAGACAGAGGAGAAACTGTAGGAGACAGAGGAGAGACAGAGGAGGAGACAGAGGAGGAGAGAGAGGAGGAGACAGAGGAGGAGACAGAGGAGAAACTGTAGGAGATAGAGGAGGAGACAGAGGAGGAGAGAGAGGAGGAGACAGAGGAGGAGACAGAGGAGGAGAGAGAGGAGGAGACAGAGGAGGAGAGAGAGGAGGAGACAGAGGAGGAGACAGAGGAGGAGATAGAGGAGGAGACAGAGGAGGAGACAGAGGAGACAGAGGAGGAGAGAGAGGAGGAGACAGAGGAGAAACTGTAGGAGACAGAGGAGGAGATAGAGGAGGAGACAGAGGAGGAGACAGAGGAGGAGACAGAGGAGGAGACAGAGGAGGAGACAGAGGAGGAGAGAGAGGAGGAGAGAGAGGAGGAGACAGAGGAGGAGAGAGAGGAGGAGAGAGAGGAGGAGACAAAGGAGGAGACAGAGGAGAGAAACTGTAGGAGACAGAGGAGGAGATAGAGGAGGAGACAGAGGAGGAGACAGAGGAGGAGAGAGAGGAGGAGACAGAGGAGGAGATAGAGGAGGAGAGAGAGGAGGAGACAGAGGAGGAGAGAGAGGAGGAGACAGAGGAGGAGATAGAGGAGGAGAGAGAGGAGGAGAGAGAGGAGGAGACAGAGGAGGAGAGAGAGGAGGAGACAGAGGAGGAGAGAGAGGAGGAGAGAGAGGAGGAGACAGAGGAGGAGATAGAGGAGGAGACAGAGGAGGAGACAGAGGAGGAGAGAGGAGGAGACAGAGGAGGAGAGAGAGGAGGAGACAGAGGAGGAGAGAGAGGAGGAGACAGAGGAGGAGACAGAGGAGACAGAGGAGGAGAGAGAGGAGGAGACAGAGGAGAGACAGAGGAGGAGACAGAGGAGGAGACAGAGGAGGAGAGAGAGGAGGAGACAGAGGAGGAGACAGAGGAGACAGAGGAGGAGAGAGAGGAGGAGACAGAGGAGAGACAGAGGAGGAGACAGAGGAGGAGACAGAGGAGGAGAGAGAGGAGGAGACAGAGGAGGAGACAGAGGAGAAACTGTAGGAGATAGAGGAGGAGACAGAGGAGGAGAGAGAGGAGGAGACAGAGGAGGAGACAGAGGAGGAGAGAGAGGAGACAGAGGAGGAGAGAGAGGAGGAGACAGAGGAGGAGACAGAGGAGGAGATAGAGGAGGAGACAGAGGAGGAGACAGAGGAGACAGAGGAGGAGAGAGAGGAGGAGACAGAGGAGGAGACAGAGGAGAAACTGTAGGAGACAGAGGAGGAGATAGAGGAGGAGACAGAGGAGGAGACAGAGGAGGAGACAGAGGAGGAGACAGAGGAGGAGACAGAGGAGGAGAGAGAGGAGGAGAGAGAGGAGGAGACAGAGGAGGAGAGAGAGGAGGAGACAGAGGAGGAGACAGAGGAGGAGACAGAGGAGGAGACAGAGGAGGAGAGAGAGGAGGAGAGAGAGGAGGAGAGAGAGGAGGAGATAGAGGAGGAGACAGAGGAGGAGACAGAGGAGGAGAGAGAGGAGGAGAGAGAGGAGGAGAGAGAGGAGGAGACAGAGGAGGAGACAGAGGAGGAGAGAGAGGAGGAGACAGAGGAGGAGAGAGAGGAGGAGACAGAGGAGGAAACAGAGGAGAAACTGTAGGAGACAGAGGAGGAGATAGAGGAGGAGAGAGAGGAGGAGACAGAGGAGGAGACAGAGGAGAGAAACTGTAAGAGACAGAGGAGGAGATAGAGGAGGAGACAGAGGAGGAGACAGAGGAGGAGAGAGAGGAGGAGACAGAGGAGGAGATAGAGGAGGAGAGAGAGGAGGAGACAGAGGAGGAGACAGAGGAGGAGATAGAGGAGGAGACAGAGGAGGAGACAGAGGAGGAGACAGAGGAGGAGATAGAGGAGGAGACAGAGGAGGAGACAGAGGAGGAGACAGAGGAGAAACTGTAGGAGACAGAGGAGGAGAAACTGTAGGAGACAGAGGAGGAAACAGAGGAGAAACTGTAGGAGACAGAGGAGGAGAAACTGTAGGAGACAGAGGAGGAAACAGAGGAGAAACTGTAGGAGACAGAGGAGGAGATAGAGGAGGAGAGAGAGGAGGAGACAGAGGAGGAGACAGAGGAGAGAAACTGTAAGAGACAGAGGAGGAGATAGAGGAGGAGACAGAGGAGGAGAGAGAGGAGGAGACAGAGGAGGAGATAGAGGAGGAGAGAGAGGAGGAGACAGAGGAGGAGACAGAGGAGGAGATAGAGGAGGAGATAGAGGAGGAGACAGAGGAGGAGACAGAGGAGGAGACAGAGGAGGAGATAGAGGAGGAGACAGAGGAGGAGACAGAGGAGGAGACAGAGGAGAAACTGTAGGAGACAGAGGAGGAGAAACTGTAGGAGACAGAGGAGGAGACAGAGGAGGAGACAGAGGAGGAGACAGAGGAGAAACTGTAGGAGACAGAGGAGGAGATAGAGGAGGAGACAGAGGAGACAGAGGAGGAGAGAGAGGAGGAGACAGAGGAGGAGACAGAGGAGGAGACAGAGGAGAAACTGTAGGAGACAGAGGAGGAGATAGAGGAGGAGACAGAGGAGACAGAGGAGGAGAGAGAGGAGGAGACAGAGGAGGAGACAGAGGAGAAACTGTAGGAGACAGAGAGGAGGAGGACAGAGGAGGAGACAGAGGAGGAGACAGAGGAGAAACTGTAGGAGACAGAGGAGGAGATAGAGGAGGAGACAGAGGAGGAGACAGAGGAGGAGAGAGAGGAGGAGACAGAGGAGAAACTGTAGGAGACAGAGGAGGAGACAGAGGAGGAGACAGAGGAGGAGACAGAGGAGAAACTGTAGGAGACAGAGGAGAGACAGAGGAGGAGACAGAGGAGGAGAGAGAGGAGGAGACAGAGGAGGAGACAGAGGAGAAACTGTAGGAGATAGAGGAGGAGACAGAGGAGGAGAGAGAGGAGGAGACAGAGGAGGAGACAGAGGAGGAGAGAGAGGAGGAGACAGAGGAGGAGAGAGAGGAGGAGACAGAGGAGGAGACAGAGGAGGAGATAGAGGAGGAGACAGAGGAGGAGACAGAGGAGACAGAGGAGGAGAGAGAGGAGGAGACAGAGGAGGAGACAGAGGAGAAAACTGTAGGAGACAGAGGAGGAGATAGAGGAGGAGACAGAGGAGGAGACAGAGGAGGAGACAGAGGAGGAGAGGAGGAGACAGAGGAGGAGAGAGGAGGAGACAGAGGAGGAGAAGAGAGGAGAGGGAGAGAGAGGAGAGAGAGGAGGAGACAGAGGAGGAGAGAGGAGGAGACAAGGAGGAGAGAGAGAAACTGTAGGAGACAGAGGAGGAGATAGAGGAGGAGACAGAGGAGGAGACAGAGGAGGAGAAGAGGAGGAGACAGAGGAGGAGATAGAGGAGGAGAGAGAGGAGGAGACAGAGGAGGAGAGAGAGGAGGAGACAGAGGAGGAGATAGAGGAGGAGGAGGAGGAGAGAGAGGAGGAGACAGAGGAGGAGAGAGAGGAGGAGACAGAGGAGGAGAGAGAGGAGGAGACAGAGGAGGAGACAGAGGAGAGATAGAGGAGGAGACAGAGGAGGAGACAGAGGAGGAGAGAGAGGAGGAGACAGAGGAGGAGAGAGAGGAGGAGACAGAGGAGGAGACAGAGGAGGAGAGAGAGGAGGAGACAGAGGAGGAGAGAGAGGAGGAGACAGAGGAGGAGACAGAGGAGGAGATAGAGGAGGAGACAGAGGAGGAGACAGAGGAGACAGAGGAGAGAGAGAGGAGGAGACAGAGGAGGAGACAGAGGAGAAACTGTAGGAGACAGAGGAGGAGATAGAGGAGGAGACAGAGGAGGAGACAGAGGAGGAGACAGAGGAGGAGACAGAGGAGGAGACAGAGGAGGAGAGAGAGGAGGAGAGAGAGGAGGAGAGAGAGGAGGAGACAGAGGAGGAGAGAGAGAGGAGAGAGAGAGGGAGACAAAGGAGGAGACAGAGGAGAGAAACTGTAGGAGACAGAGGAGGAGATAGAGGAGGAGACAGAGGAGGAGACAGAGGAGGAGAGAGAGGAGGAGACAGAGGAGGAGATAGAGGAGGAGAGAGAGGAGGAGACAGAGGAGGAGAGAGAGGAGGAGACAGAGGAGGAGATAGAGGAGGAGAGAGAGGAGGAGAGAGAGGAGGAGACAGAGGAGGAGAGAGAGGAGGAGACAGAGGAGGAGAGAGAGGAGGAGACAGAGGAGGAGACAGAGGAGGAGATAGAGGAGGAGACAGAGGAGGAGACAGAGGAGGAGAGAGAGGAGGAGACAGAGGAGGAGAGAGAGGAGGAGACAGAGGAGGAGAGAGAGGAGGAGACAGAGGAGGAGACAGAGGAGACAGAGGAGGAGAGAGAGGAGGAGACAGAGGAGAGACAGAGGAGGAGATAGAGGAGGAGAGAGAGGAGGAGACAGAGGAGGAGACAGAGGAGACAGAGGAGGAGAGAGAGGAGGAGACAGAGGAGAGACAGAGGAGGAGACAGAGGAGGAGACAGAGGAGGAGAGAGAGGAGGAGACAGAGGAGGAGACAGAGGAGAAAACTGTAGGAGATAGAGGAGGAGACAGAGGAGAGAGAGAGAGGAGGAGACAGAGGAGGAGACAGAGGAGGAGAGAGAGGAGACAGAGGAGGAGAGAGAGGAGGAGACAGAGGAGGAGACAGAGGAGGAGATAGAGGAGGAGACAGAGGAGGAGACAGAGGAGACAGAGGAGGAGAGAGAGGAGGAGACAGAGGAGGAGACAGAGGAGAAACTGTAGGAGACAGAGGAGGAGATAGAGGAGGAGACAGAGGAGGAGACAGAGGAGGAGACAGAGGAGGAGACAGAGGAGGAGACAGAGGAGGAGAGAGAGGAGGAGAGAGAGGAGGAGACAGAGGAGGAGAGAGAGGAGGAGACAGAGGAGGAGACAGAGGAGGAGACAGAGGAGGAGACAGAGGAGGAGAGAGAGGAGGAGAGAGAGGAGGAGAGAGAGGAGGAGATAGAGGAGGAGACAGAGGAGGAGACAGAGGAGGAGACAGAGGAGGAGAGAGAGGAGGAGAGAGAGGAGGAGAGAGAGGAGGAGACAGAGGAGGAGACAGAGGAGGAGAGAGAGGAGGAGACAGAGGAGGAGAGAGAGGAGGAGACAGAGGAGGAAACAGAGGAGAAACTGTAGGAGACAGAGGAGGAGATAGAGGAGGAGAGAGAGGAGGAGACAGAGGAGGAGACAGAGGAGAGAAACTGTAAGAGACAGAGGAGGAGATAGAGGAGGAGACAGAGGAGGAGACAGAGGAGGAGAGAGAGGAGGAGACAGAGGAGGAGATAGAGGAGGAGAGAGAGGAGGAGACAGAGGAGGAGACAGAGGAGGAGATAGAGGAGGAGACAGAGGAGGAGACAGAGGAGGAGACAGAGGAGGAGATAGAGGAGGAGACAGAGGAGGAGACAGAGGAGGAGACAGAGGAGAAACTGTAGGAGACAGAGGAGGAGAAACTGTAGGAGACAGAGGAGGAAACAGAGGAGAAACTGTAGGAGACAGAGGAGGAGAAACTGTAGGAGACAGAGGAGGAAACAGAGGAGAAACTGTAGGAGACAGAGGAGGAGATAGAGGAGGAGAGAGAGGAGGAGACAGAGGAGGAGACAGAGGAGAGAAACTGTAAGAGACAGAGGAGGAGATAGAGGAGGAGACAGAGGAGGAGAGAGAGGAGGAGACAGAGGAGGAGATAGAGGAGGAGAGAGAGGAGGAGACAGAGGAGGAGACAGAGGAGGAGATAGAGGAGGAGATAGAGGAGGAGACAGAGGAGGAGACAGAGGAGGAGACAGAGGAGGAGATAGAGGAGGAGACAGAGGAGGAGACAGAGGAGGAGACAGAGGAGAAACTGTAGGAGACAGAGGAGGAGAAACTGTAGGAGACAGAGGAGGAGACAGAGGAGGAGACAGAGGAGGAGACAGAGGAGAAACTGTAGGAGACAGAGGAGGAGATAGAGGAGGAGACAGAGGAGAGACAGAGGAGGAGACAGAGGAGGAGAGAGAGGAGGAGACAGAGGAGGAGACAGAGGAGGAGACAGAGGAGGAGACAGAGGAGAAACTGTAGGAGACAGAGGAGGAGACAGAGGAGAGACAGAGGAGGAGACAGAGGAGGAGACAGAGGAGGAGAGAGAGGAGGAGACAGAGGAGGAGACAGAGGAGGAGAGAGAGGAGGAGACAGAGGAGGAGAGAGAGGAGGAGACAGAGGAGGAGAGAGTGGAGGAGGAGAGAGAGGAGGAGACAGAGGAGGAGACAGAGGAGAAACTGTAGGAGACAGAGGAGGAGATAGAGGAGGAGACAGAGGAGAGACAGAGGAGGAGACAGAGGAGGAGACAGAGGAGGAGAGAGAGGAGGAGACAGAGGAGGAGACAGAGGAGGCGACAAAGGAGGAGACAGAGGAGAAACTGTAGGAGACAGAGGAGGAGATAGAGGAGGAGACAGAGGAGGAGACAGAGGAGACAGAGGAGGAGAGAGAGGAGGAGAGAGAGGAGGAGACAGAGGAGGAGACAGAGGAGGAGACAGAGGAGGAGACAGAGGAGAAACTGTAGGAGATAGAGGAGGAGATAGAGGAGGAGACAGAGGAGGAGGAGAGAGAGAGGAGGAGACAGAGGAGGAGACAGAGGAGGAGACAGAGGAGAAACTGTAGGAGACAGAGGAGGAGATAGAGGAGGAGACAGAGGAGGAGACAGAGGAGGAGAGAGAGGAGGAGACAGAGGAGGAGACAGAGGAGAAACTGTAGGAGACAGAGGAGGAGATAGAGGAGGAGACAGAGGAGGAGACAGAGGAGGAGACAGAGGAGAAACTGTAGGAGACAGAGGAGGAGAGAGAGGAGGAGAGAGAGGAGGAGACAGAGGAGGAGACAGAGGAGGAGAGAGAGGAGGAGACAGAGGAGGAGAGAGAGGAGGAGACAGAGGAGGAAACAGAGGAGAAACTGTAAGAGACAGAGGAGGAGACAGAGGAGGAGACAGAGGAGGAGAGAGAGGAGGAGAGAGAGGAGGAGACAGAGGAGGAGAGAGAGGAGACAGAGGAGAGAGAGGAGGAGACAGAGGAGGAGACAGAGGAGACAGAGGAGGAGAGAGAGGAGGAGACAGAGGAGGAGACAGAGGAGAAACTGTAGGAGACAGAGGAGGAGATAAAGGAGGAGACAGAGGAGGAGACAGAGGAGGAGATAGAGGAGGAGACAGAGGAGGAAAGAGAGGAGGAGACAGAGGAGGAGAGAGAGGAGGAGACAGAGGAGGAGACAGAGGAGGAGACAGAGGAGAAACTGTAGGAGACAGAGGAGGAGATAGAGGAGGAGACAGAGGAGAAACTGTAGGAGACAGAGGAGGAGATAGAGGAGGAGACAGAGGAGGAGACAGAGGAGGAGAGAGAGACTGACTGTAAAGACACGCCCACACTGACCTGTAGAGGACACGCCCACACTGACCTGTAGAGGACACGCCCACACTGACCTGTAGAGGACACACGCCCACATTGACCTGTAGAGGACACACCCACACTGACCTGTAGAGGACACGCCCACATTGACCTGTAAAGACACGCCCACATTGACCTGTAGAGGACACGCCCACACTGACCTGTAAAGACACGCCCACACTGACCTGTAGAGGACACGCCCACACTGACCTGTAAAGACACGCCCACATTGACCTGTAGAGGACACGCCCACACTGACCTGTAAAGACACGCCCACACTGACCTGTAGAGGACACGCCCACACTGACCTGTAAAGGACACGCCCACACTGACCTGTAAAGGACACGCCCACACTGACCTGTAAAGGACACGCCCACACTGACCTGTAAAGACACGCCCACACTGACCTGTAAAGACACGCCCACACTGACCTGTAAAGACACACCCACACTGACCTGTAAAGACACACCCACACTGACCTGTAAAGACACGCCCACACTGACCTGTAAAGACACACCCACACTGACCTGTAAAGACACACCCACACTGACCTGTAAAGACACGCCCACACTGACCTGTAAAGACACGCCCACACTGGTCTGTAGAGGACACGCCCACACTGACCTGTAAAGGACACGCCCACACTGACCTGTAAAGACACGCCCACACTGACCTGTAAAGACACACGCCCACACTGACCTGTAAAGACACACCCACACTGACCTGTAAAGACACACCCACACTGACCTGTAAAGACACGCCCACACTGACCTGTAAGGACACGCCCACACTGACCTGTAAGGACACGCCCACACTGACCTGTAAGGACACACCCACACTGACCTGTAAAGACACGCCCACACTGACCTGTAAAGACACGCCCACACTGACCTGTAAAGACACGCCCACACTGACCTGTAAGGACACACCCACACTGACCTGTAAAGACACGCCCACACTGACCTGTAAAGACACGCCCACACTGACCTGTAAAGACACGCCCACACTGACCTGTAAAGACACGCCCACACTGACCTGTAGAGGACACGCCCACACTGACCTGTAGAGGACACGCCCACACTGACCTGTAAAGACACACCCACAATGACCTGTAAAGACACACCCACACTGACCTGTAAAGACACGCCCACACTGACCTGTAGAGCACACGCCCACACTGACCTGTAAAGACACACCCACACTGACCTGTAAAGACACGCCCACACTGACCTGTAGAGGACACGCCCACACTGACCTGTAAAGACACACCCACACTGACCTGTAAGGACACACCCACACTGACCTGTAAAGACACGCCCACACTGACCTGTAGAGGACACACCCACACTGACCTGTAAAGACACGCCCACACTGACCTGTAGAGGACACGCCCACACTGACCTGTAAAGACACGCCCACACTGACCTGTAAAGGACACGCCCACACTGACCTGTAAAGACACGCCCACACTGACCTGTAAAGACACGCCCACACTGACCTGTAAAGACACGCCCACACTGACCTGTAAAGACACGCCCACACTGACCTGTAGAGGACACGCCCACACTGACCTGTAAAGACACGCCCACACTGACCTGTAAAGACACGCCCACACTGACCTGTAAGGACACGCCCACACTGACCTGTAAAGACACGCCCACACTGACCTGTAAAGACACGCCCACACTGACCTGTAGAGGACACGCCCACACTGACCTGTAGAGGACACGCCCACACTGACCTGTAAAGACACGCCCACACTGGTCTGTAGAGGACACGCCCACACTGACCTGTAAAGACACGCCCACAATGACCTGTAGAGGACACGCCCACACTGACTTGTAAAGACACGCCCACAATGACCTGTAAAGACACGCCCACACTGACCTGTAAAGACACGCCCACACTGACTTGTAAAGACACGCGCCCACACTGACCTGTAAGGACACGCCCACACTGACCTGTAAGGACACACCCACACTGACCTGTAAAGACACGCCCACACTGACCTGTAAAGACACGCCCACACTGACCTGTAAAGACACGCCCACACTGACCTGTAGAGGACACACCCACACTGACCTGTAGAGGACACGCCCACACTGACCTGTAAAGACACGCCCACACTGACCTGTAAAGACACGCCCACACTGACCTGTAAGGACACACCCACACTGACCTGTAAAGACACGCCCACACTGACCTGTAAAGACACGCCCACACTGACCTGTAAAGACACGCCCACACTGACCTGTAGAGGACACACCCACACTGACCTGTAGAGGACACGCCCACACTGACCTGTAAAGACACGCCCACACTGACCTGTAAAGACACGCCCACACTGACCTGTAGAGGACACGCCCACACTGACCTGTAAAGACACGCCCACACTGACCTGTAAAGACACGCCCACACTGACCTGTAAAGGACACGCCCACACTGACCTGTAAAGACACGCCCACACTGACCTGTAAAGACACGCCCACACTGACCTGTAAAGACACACCCACACTGACCTGTAAAAACACGCCCACACTGACCTGTAAGGACACACCCACACTGACCTGTAAGGACACGCCCACACTGACCTGTAAGGACACACCCACACTGACCTGTAAAGACACGCCCACACTGACCTGTAAAGACACGCCCACACTGACCTGTAAAGACACGCCCACACTGACCTGTAAAGACACGCCCACACTGACCTGTAGAGGACACGCCCACACTGACCTGTAGAGGACACGCCCACACTGACCTGTAGAGGACACACCCACACTGACCTGTAGAGGACACGCCCACACTGACCTGTAAAGACACGCCCACACTGACCTGTAGAGGACACGCCCACAATGACCTGTAAAGACACGCCCACACTGACCTGTAAAGGACACGCCCACACTGACCTGTAAAGACACGCCCACACTGACCTGTAAAGACACGCCCACACTGACCTGTAAAGACACGCCCACACTGACCTGTAGAGGACACGCCCACACTGACCTGTAGAGGACACGCCCACACTGACCTGTAAAGACACGCCCACACTGACCTGTAAAGGACACGCCCACACTGACATGTAAAGACACGCCCACACTGACCTGTAGAGCACACGCCCACACTGACCTGTAAAGACACGCCCACACTGGTCTGTAGAGGACACGCCCACACTGACCTGTTAAGACACGCCCACACTGACCTGTAAAGGACACGCCCACACTGACCTGTAAAGACACGCCCACACTGACCTGTAAAGACACGCCCACACTGACCTGTAGAGGACACGCCCACACTGACCTGTAAAGACACGCCCACACTGACCTGTAAAGACACGCCCACACTGACCTGTAAAGGACACGCCCACACTGACCTGTAAAGACACGCCCACACTGACCTGTAAGGACACGCCCACACTGACCTGTAGAGCACACGCCCACACTGACCTGTAAAGACACGCCCACACTGGTCTGTAGAGGACACGCCCACACTGACCTGTTAAGACACGCCCACACTGACCTGTAAAGGACACGCCCACACTGACCTGTAAAGACACGCCCACACTGACCTGTAAAGACACGCCCACACTGACCTGTAGAGGACACGCCCACAATGACCTGTAGAGGACACGCCCACACTGACTTGTAAAGACACGCCCACAATGACCTGTAAAGACACGCCCACACTGACCTGTAAAGGACACGCCCACACTGACCTGTAAAGACACGCCCACACTGACCTGTAAAGACACGCCCACACTGACCTGTAGAGGACACGCCCACACTGACCTGTAAAGACACGCCCACACTGACCTGTAGAGGACACGTCCACACTGACCTGTAGAGGACACGCCCACACTGACCTGTAAAGACACGTCCACACTGACCTGTAGAGGACACGCCCACACTGACCTGTAGAGGACACACCCACACTGACCTGTAAAGACACGCCCACACTGACCTGTAGAGGACACGCCCACACTGACCTGTAGAGGACACGCCCACACTGACCTGTAGACAGGTCGTCCCGCCTCTAGAGCCATCCAGTCCAGAGCAAAGTCGATCTGTCGGACGAACGGAGAAACCCTCCTGACCACGGTGTGCGCCACATTCAACACGACCCGCGGCTCCTCACGCATGATCCTGAAGAGAGACCAGAAAACAGACTGCACACCAGGTCTCTCTCTGGTCTTTCTCTCTGGTCTCTCTCTCTCTGGTCTGGTCTCTCTCTGGTCTCTCTGGTCTCTCTCTCTGGTCTCTCTCTGGTCTCTCTCTGGTCTCTCTCTGGTCTCTCTCTCTGGTCTCTCTCTGGTCTCTCTCTCTGGTCTCTCTCTCTGGTCTCTCTCTGGTCTCTCTCTCTGGTCTCTCTCTCTGGTCTCTCTCTCTCTGGTCTCTCTCTCTCTGGTCTCTCTCTCTCTGGTCTCTCTCTCTGGTTTCTCTCTCTGGTCTCTCTCTCTCTGGTCTCTCTCTCTGGTCTCTCTCTCTGGTCTCTCTCTCTCTGGTCTCTCTCTCTCTGGTCTCTCTCTCTCTGGTCTCTCTCTCTCTGGTCTCTCTCTGGTCTCTCTCTCTGGTCTCTCTCTCTCTGGTCTCTCTCTCTCTGGTCTCTCTCTCTCTGGTCTCTCTCTGGTCTCTCTCTCTGGTCTCTCTCTCTGGTCTCTCTCTCTGGTCTCTCTCTCTGGTCTCTCTCTGGTCTCTCTCTCTGGTCTCTCTCTGGTCTCTCTCTGGTCTCTGGACCAGGTGGGTGAGAGGGTGACGTACTCGTAGAAGTGAGCCTTGGAGATGCAGAGGAAGCTGCAGTCGCGGTGAGCTTTGACGCTGAAGATGAGGGGTTCCCCGGTGAGGACGGCCAGGTGCCCCACCATCTCCCCCGCATGAGTCACGAACAGCAGAGACTCCTTCTCCCTGTCAATCATCCGCTGGTACACGTGCAGCGCACCAGAGATCACGAACGCCACACTCACGTCCTGCAACACATGGTCTCCCTCATCACACATAGTACCTCCCTCATCACACATGGTCTCCCTCATCACAAATGGTCTCCCCATCACACATGGTCTCTCTCATCACAAATGGTCTCCCCATCACACATGGTCTCTCTCATCACACATGGTCTCCCCCATCACACATGGTCTCCCTCATCACACATGGTCTCCCTCATCACAAACGGTCTCCCTCAGACAGGGTATTACACAAACACAGAGACCATGTGTGTGTGTGTGTGTGTGTGTAGACCATGTGTGTGTGTGTGTGTGTGCACAGACCTGGTCTCCCTGATGGGCCACAGTGGTCCCGGCTCGGACCTGTCGTAGGTTCACTCTTCCCTCCAATAAACTGGCGTTCTGTTCACACAGAGGAGGAGTCAGTGCATTAGACCTGCGGTACTTCAGTGTGATCCACAGGGTCCACAGGGTCCACAGGGTCCTGGGACTACCTGGATCCTGTGGATCCACAGGGTCCTGGGACTACCTGGTTCCTGTGGATCCACAGGGTCCTGGGACTACCTGGTTCCTGTGGATCCACAGGGTCCTGGGACTACCTGGTTCCTGTGGATCCACAGGGTCCTGAGACTACCTGGTTCCTGTGGATCCACAGGGTCCTGGGATCACCTGGTCCTGGATCACCTGGTCCTGGATCACCTGGTCCTGGATCACCTGGTCCTGGATTACCTGGAGCTGGATGACCTGCAGCAGGTCCTTCTTGGCGGCCTGGAAGATAGCGCTGACCTTACTGTGCTGGTTCGAGCCCGAGCCTGAGTCTGTGTAATGGTACACGGCTGAGGGAGTGTGGACCATCGTCACACTCTTCTTCAGGATGGACTGAAGGAACAACACACCAGTTATCACAGGGACCAGAGGAGGTCCAAATCACAGTGACCAAAGGAGGTCTGTATCACAGGGACCAGAGGAGGTCCAAATCACAGGGACCAGAGGAGGTCTGCATCACAGGGACCAGAGGAGGTCTGTATCACAGGGACCAGAGGAGGTCTTTATCACAGGGACCAGAGGAGGTCCAAATCACAGGGACTCGAGGAGGTCTGTATCACAGGGACCAGAGGAGGTCTGCATCACAGGGACCAGAGGAGGTCTGTATCACGGGGACCAGAGGAGGTCTGTATTAGGGTTTAATCCCGGGATACGGGATTCCCGGGAAATCTGATGAAAACTATTTCCCGATTCCCGGGAAATGTTATGACGGGAAACGGGAAATGAAAGTAAAAAAAAAATACAGTGCGCTCCAATTATAAAGCACGTTTATTGTTGTTCAAAGTTCAAACATATTTCATTTACAATCAACATGTCTACAGCTGAGAGGATGGCTCATAAATTGTGTTTTTGACAACAAATATGGGTCTTAATCGCGCTAAACCACGACTTGTAATGAGGCCAGGCTCAGGGTACGGGGCACATGAGAGCCCAGAATTTGGCTACGTCCAATTCTATCAGAAAGCTCCTTTCTTTTTTTCTATCTGCTAAGGGCAGCAACAGGTTTGGCTAACATACATATAACACATTTTAAGATCATATAAAATGCATTTAGGGTAATGTTCTGCTTCCAATGACGATAGGAATGATAAGGAAGAGAGGAGAAGGGTAAGAAGGTTGATATTAGAAATTGGATGCGCCCGAGAGCCGGCTGCAGCGAACACACAGGAGTTTATGGAGGTGGCACCCGTTTTGTTTTACGCTTTAAAACTCTTTGGGCTTATTTCCAAATGGGGGATTACATATCTACGCTCAAACTATTATCTGGACTCAAACATGAAACTGGTCTGAACCGAAGTGGTCTGTGCTGTTCATTAATAACTAAGGTAAGACCCATAACACAATTGGAAATGTGCCTTTTACGAACTTTTGCGTTTTGTTTGAGCAAACAATGCGGGCCATGGAAAACATTCTGCTGTAGCCAAACTAATTGTGAATAAGCCGCTCTGTAGGTTCTGTTGATTTATATGATATATGTTCATCTGACAGGGCTGAAGTCAGTGCCTCCAAACCACACGCACGTCACTGGTCGACAAGTGGATTGTGCAGACATTTAGAATCTCATAATAGTGAAATTCCTGAAGAAAGCCCATCAACAAAACATCTGAAAACGCTATGGCTACTTTAGCAAAGCTAGCACGTCGCTTGGTGAAACACTAGTGGAGATGGCAGCTTTTGTTGGATTATATATTTGAGTGATATCACACATTACTTGGGCTAAAAACAACAACTACAAACAACAGCTATTTCCCGGGATTTCCCGGGAAACGCGCCGTCTTTTCCCGGGATTTGATACGTCTCATTTTCGGGAAAAATATTAAACCCTAGTCTGTATCACAGGGACCAGAGGAGGTCTGTATCACAGGGACCAGAGGAGGTCTGTATCACAGGGACCAGAGCAGGTCTGCATCACAGGGACCAGAGGAGGTCTGTATCACAGGGACCAGAGGAGGTCTGTATCACAGGGACCAGAGGAGGTCTCTATCACAGGGACCAGAGGAGGTCTGTATCACAGGGACCAGAGCAGGTCTGCATCACAGGGACCAGAGGAGGTCTGTATCACAGGGACCAGAGGAGGTCTGTATCACAGGGACCAGAGGAGGTCTGCATCACAGGGACCAGAGGAGGTCTGTATCACAGGGACCAGAGGAGGTCTGCATCCAGGACTCAGGCAGTTCACAGGTACAGATAGAAGAGGCCAGGTCCCATCATCAGAAGTTTTTTGTGGTCCCGTACGTCACCTAGTCCCCTACATCATCTGGTCCTGTACGTCACCTAGTCCCCTACATCATCTGGTCCTGTACGTCACCTAGTCCCCTACATCATCTGGTCCTGTACGTCACCTAGTCCCCTACATCATCTGGTCCTGTACGTCACCTAGTCCCCTACATCATCTGGTCCTGTACGTCACTTGGTCCCGCACATCATCTGGTCCTGTACGTCACCTAGTCCCCTACATCATCTGGTCCTGTACGTCACCTAGTCCCCTACATCATCTGGTCCTGTACGTCACTTGGTCCCGCACATCATCTGGTCCTGTATGTCACCTGGTCCCATACATCACCTGGTCCCGCACATCATCTGGTCCTGCACGTCACCTGGTCCTGCACGTCACCTGGTCCTGTACGTCACCTGGACCTGCACGTAACCTGGTCCCGTACGTCCTCTGGTCCCGTACGTCATCTGGTCCAGCACCTCACCTGGTCCTGCACGTCATCCTTGTGGGTTAGCGTTACCTTTAAAGGACTTGGGGGCGTGGCCTCTTCTCTGGAGACTCGGGCTCGTTCGTACGCAGAGTTGAGGGAGCTGGACATGTCCTCTGTGGATGGTAGAACTCTTTAATCTCTAATCTCTAATCTCTAATCTCTAATCTCTCTCATTCTCAATCCAGTTCATTTGAGTTTAGTCCTAAATCCCGGCAGTTCTGGTTCACCTGTAACAGCCAGAGGAGTGGAGAGCGAGCGAGACTTTCTGTACCGCGTGGATCCCAACTCTGAAGGAGTGGACTTTTCTGTGGGAAAGAAGAGAAACATCAACCTCTAGTGGTGGATGGGTGGAACTACAGTTACTCAAAGTGCTTATCAAAACAACAGGCATTAAACAGATCAGAAAGAGACCAGAGAGAGACCAGAGAGAGACCAGAGAGAGACCAGAAAGAGACCAGAGAGAGACCAGTGAGACCAGAGAGAGACCAGAAAGAGACCAGAGAGAGACCAGAAAGAGACCAGAGAGAGACCAGTGAGAGACCAGAGAGAGACCAGAAATAGACCAGAGAGAGACCAGAGAGAGACCAGCGAGAGACCAGAGAGAGACCAGAAAGAGACCAGAGAGAGACCAGAGAGAGACCAGCGAGAGACCAGAGAGAGACCAGAAAGAGACCAGAGAGAGACCAGAGAGAGACCAGAAAGAGACCAGAGAGAGACCAGAGAGAGACCAGAAAGAGACCAGAGAGAGACCAGCGAGAGACCAGAGAGAGACCAGAAAGAGACCAGAAAGAGACCAGAAAGAGACCAGAGAGAGACCAGAGAGAGACCAGAGAGAGACCAGAGAGAGACCAGAGAGAGACCAGAAAGAGACCAGAGAGAGACCAGAGAGAGACCAGAAAGAGACCAGAGAGACCAGAGAGACCAGAGAGAGACCAGAAAGAGACCAGAAAGAGACCAGAGAGAGACCAGAGAGAGACCAGAGAGAGACCAGAGAGAGACCAGAGAGAGACCAGGGAGAAAGAGACCAGAGAAAGGGACCAGAGAGAGACCAGAGAGAAAGAGACCAGAGAGAGAGACCAGAGAGAGGGACCAGAGAGAGGGACCAGAGAGAGAGTTTAAGCAGCAACACCCTCCACATGTCATACATAAATGGTCTGTAAATGTTCCTGGGCAAACATACCTCTCCAGAGACACATATATGAATGATGTAAATGCACACACTGTAGTCTGTCAGAGCAACAAACCATGTGATCCAAACCATGTGAGATGTACAGTCTGTGGTCAAACCTGTGTCCTGATCGTCCTGCTGTGAGGGCTGGCGGCGCAGGCCTCGGTCCCCCAGGACGTTGGCCACAGACACCATGGAGATGGCCAGACTTTCCTGTCACACAAACTCTGCATTTATAGAAGAAGGTGGGGGGTGGATCCTGCTGTGGACATGGACCTACCGGGTTGAACAGCTCCGTGGTCAGGCCCAGGTAGTTGTGTAAGGCCAGAAATGTGACTCTTTGGAGACGCACCATAATAATCTGTCAAAGAAAAACTACTGTGATATACTGTCTCTCTCTGGTCTCTCTCTGGTCTCTCTCTGGTCTCTCTCTGGTCTCTCTCTGGTCTCTCTCTGGTCTCTCTTTGGTCTCTCTTTGGTCTCTCTCTGGTCTCTCTCTGGTCTCTCTCTGGTCTCTCTCTGGTCTCTCTCTGGTCTCTCTCTGGTCTCTCTCTGGTCTCTCTCTGGTCTCTCTCTGGTCTCCCTCTGGTCTCCCTCTGGTCTCCCTCTGGTCTCTCTCTGGTCTCCCTCTGGTCTCTCTCTGGTCTCTCTCTGGTCTCCCTCTGGTCTCTCTCTGGTCTCCCTCTGGTCTCTCTCTGGTCTCTCTCTGGTCTCCCTCTGGTCTCTCTCTGGTCTCCCTCTGGTCTCTCTCTGGTCTCCCTCTGGTCTCCCTCTGGTCTCTCTCTGGTCTCCCTCTGGTCTCCCTCTGGTCTCTCTCTGGTCTCTCTCTGGTCTCTCTCTGGTCTCCCTCTGGTCTCTCTCTGGTCTCCCTCTGGTCTCCCTCTGGTCTCCCTCTGGTCTCTCTCTGGTCTCTCTCTGGTCTCTCTCTGGTCTCTCTCTGGTCTCTCTCTGGTCTCTCTCTGGTCTCTCTCTGGTCTCTCTCTGGTCTCTCTCTGGTCTCCCTCTGGTCTCCCTCTGGTCTCTCTCTGGTCTCTCTCTGGTCTCCCTCTGGTCTCTCTCTGGTCTCCCTCTGGTCTCCCTCTGGTCTCCCTCTGGTCTCTCTCTGGTCTCTCTCTGGTCTCCCTCTGGTCTCTCTCTGGTCTCTCTCTGGTCTCTCTCTGGTCTCTCTCTGGTCTCTCTCTGGTACCTGAATGACTCGGACCAGCGTCTCTGGATACTTGTCGAACACAGACTGAAATGCAGAAGCGGGAAGACGGAGGATGATGGTGGGAGACGCCGCACGAGCAGACACGGTTTTGTACGGAGCCGGGTACCCCTGAACACACACACACACACACACACACAGAGATACACACTGTTGTATTAAATATAGACTAAAAAGCAGATGTGCATTTGACTGACCCTGAATTGAACTTTGTCAAAAGCCAAAAAAGATCTTGTATTGCTCTTCTCCCCTCCTTCCTTTGTAGTCCAAAAGTGCAGAATATGAGTTAATGATAGTTAATCTGGGGGGGGCAAGATCTGCATTCCTAGATTTGCTAATCTTTTTAAGTTGTTTGGAGAAGGAGATGGACCCAGAATCTGGAGGGACAGCCTTGAAGTCCTCCTGTCTTATCTCAAGGAAGTAATATTTCTATAGAATTAGGGAGGGGTAGTGTGTGAATGATTCTGTTTAAGGTCCGGCGAGACGGAGGAGACATGATGGAAGAGGCCGGACCCTGGACCCGAGACCTGCCTGATACAACACGCCCCTTCCCCTTGCACATTTACTTATAGTGAATAGCTTGAATGTGAGGAGTTAGTTTTTTACTGGACCAGGTACAGCAGTGTGACTTTGTGTGGAGCGCCCACCCAAAGTTACACTTTATACTTTATATAGAGAATAAGGGATAGTTACTTTTGGTCCGGACAGCTGTTTTAGATTCTTTTTGTATTAGGGAAATAAACCTTTTTGAATTTAACTTCCTGAATCTTGGTCATCTTTATAAGGGATTTTGAACACGTCATTTTTTAATACGTTAATTGGTGACCCCCGACGTGATCCCTTGATGACTCTCAACCTCTCCCTGGACTCTACGTCTCTCCTCAAGCGGCCGCTGAACTGAAGGTAAGCAGATACCTTTTGACTAATTAAAAATCTGCATATTGGACTAAACCAAATCAAGGGGAGAGAAGTTCTGTCCACGGAGGAGCTAATTCAAAAAGTAAAAATAGTAAAAGCCTAAAAAGTAGTGAGAGCTTTGCAAAAATACGTTAAAATAAAATAAAATAGGAGTCTAAGTAGTTAGAACCCTGCGAGAATACATTAAAAGTAAAGATTTTTTGAGAAGCCTTGCCAGAAACAGGAAAGCCCGCTGTGACTAGCGTGGTTGACGGACGCGTCAACACACAAGTTAGGTTTAACCCATTGGAGCCTGGGGGAATTTTGGGCCCCCCGAAAAATGGAGACAGGCATTCCAATCGAGCAGTTATATAGAGAAATAGAGGCTCAGATTTTGAGTGGTCTGGATAAAAAACATAGGAACAAGGCAAAACGAAAGGCTGTGAAAGCATGGGAAAAAATACAGAACAAAAGGGTCATACCTGAGTATATGACAGCGTCCGCATTGGCTAAGATATTGCGGGAAGAGGAAAATAATTTAAAACAGGAGAAACAAGAGCTCGAGGGAAAGCAAGGAGAGAGTTGGAATGAGCGTAGAAAAATTAAAAAGGAACTAAAAAAGGCTGAGAAACTGAGGACCAAGCTACACAACTTTGCTCTGGCTGCCACGGCGTTGGCAAAATTACCTATGGTAAGTAAAGACAAGGAAACAGAAAACGGAGCAACGCCGGTGAGTAATATATACCCATCCCTACCCACGGCTCCACCAGAGTATTCTCTGGGTTTAGAACCAGGTAAGCCAAATCTACAGCTGCCACAATATACATTTTCAGGAGAAGTGGCGGTAGAAAAGAGAGGGGACAATGACTTTGCAGACAGGGAACTTGACAAAGGGACAGAAGAGGAGTCTGTGGGGGACAATAGAGATCCGAGTCAAAATCCAGCTGTCAACAGCCCGCCACAGCTCCCACACACCCCTCACCAATTCCCACCCATTTCAGAGGAGCTCTTACAATCTCTCAGAAATAGTAGAGCTAGGAAGCCAACCTTTGAATGCACCACAGACAGAGTTGAGAGAGAAGAAACCCCAAGTAGGACCCATGAATACGAGACCGCTAGACAGGAGAATGCAAAATTAATTAATAAAGCCGCACGCAGAGCCATGACTAGGACGGACAGTGAAAATGAAGGGGGAGACTGTGCCATGCCCCAGCCAATACACAAAGCTAAACAGGCTAAAAAAGGAGCTAAATTCTCTTCTGACAGTAGTGATGACGGAGACCAGGAGCCTGAGGGAAATAGACCAGTTGCAAGCAGAACCAGGTCTCAGACAAAATTCATGTTCCCTCTGAGACCAGGACGAGGCGCAGCTGGGGAGTACCATCCTTTTTCTGTAAGTGACATGCAGACTATAAAAGACAAAATGCCTCCATTGTGTCAAGGAGCTGGAAACTGGATTTCCAGTCTCAATACATGGTTTACAGGTCATGATGTGGCGATGGGTGACGTCCGGGCAGTGTTGGCAGCATGCAGTAAACCTTGGGAGAGAGATGCTATTGAAAGACAAGCTGGTACTGCTGATGTTTGTGATTCTTCCAGATTTGGCCAGTATGCAAATGCCTGGTATGAAGCACTGAGGGAGAACTTTCCAACTCCGCTGTCTTCTGCCCCTCGTGAGTTAACTTGGCTGGAGTCTGAGGACCCACTTGTATATTATGACAGGAGTGTGACCAAGTGGATGGACACAGTAGGAAGACACCCTCACAAGGTCAGTGAAGTCATGCCTTTTAGAGCAGCTATTTTGAATGGTTTACCAGAAACAATACGCTCAAAAATTGAAGACAACCCAGATAATATTAACCCAGATTCAGCACAGTGGAAAACAAATTTAATCTTTCACATTAAGCGATATGTTGAAAATAAAACTAAAGAGAGAAAGAGTGTTGAAGATATGACTTGTCAACTTTTGAAGTTACAGCTTAGTGAAGCTAGAAATAAAGCCACCCAAAATAAAAAGGAAACTAGAAATCAGATGACTAATATGACAGCCGGACCTTCCACTCAACCACGACAGGACTGGACAAGGGGAGGGGCCAGAGGTGGTGGGCGTGGGGGGCAGGGAGGAAGAAGGGGTGGAAGCTGGAAAGGGGGCAGGGATGTGTGTCGGCTCTGTTACAGGCACGGTCACTGGGCGAAGGACTGCCCCTTTGAAGGAGAGGCCTCCTACTACCATGGAGCGCCTGAGATGGTGCGTGGGAGGGGCCCCCAGAGAGGCATGGTACCCAGACCAGAGCGCGCAGGCCCTCCCTCCCCATGGACGGCTCCAAATGACAACCTGGCCCCGAGAGATGGACAATATTACCAGCAGGGGAACTACCGGTGCGAGTATGAGCATTTTTACTAGGGCTGCCTAGGAAATCCAGGGGACAAGGTGCTTGCAGAGCCTATGCTTCCCATAAGAGTGGAGGACGACAACCTGATGGCCCTGGTGGACACTGGCGCCACCTACTCTACCATCAATACAAAGATACGCCCTGTCCTGCTCTCTGAGGAGCACATCACCCTGGTTGGATTTTCTGGGACACCTGAGGTACTGCCACTCACTAAACGTTTAAAGACACAAATTGGAACACAGACACTGTGGCATTCTTTTGTAAATGCTCCAAAGACACCTGTCAACCTGCTGGGAAGAGACTTATTGACTAAAACCAATGCGTCTATTCTATGTGGACCGGATGGTCTACAAGTGACTTTTCCAGGGGGGCAAATTTACAGATGTGTGACCGGTGTATCGATGGACTCCTGCTGGCTTCTGAGAGAAGAGGTGCCAGACCAGTATGCAGACATATACTGGGTGAGACTAGACCCAGAAAACAAGTCCACGGACAATAATGGTGTGCATTCCGTCTTCTTCAAGTGGAAACCCTGGATAAATTCTTTGGCCTCCTACCACCTCCCACTGGACCCTGCCCACTTGACATTATTCTATGACAGAGACCAAGACTTAATGTACAGAGAACAATTCAAACAAATTGAAAGTGATAGGTGGACATTAGAATCAGATTACATTTATGTTGGGCCTGAGGGTGTGGCGGCCCATACACGGCTGCTTCCTGAACAGTGTGAGTGGTATTACATGTCTTCCTCTGCTGTCCCACACATCACCTTGGCTGTACACCCTGGTCACGAGGCTAGAGCTTTAGGTCCAATGGTAAAGAGACTGGTAAAAGCTGACGATTGGTCTGACACCCAACTCCCTCATGTGCAGTACAGCATTGAACATAAGTCATACAGAATAAAAGCAAATAATATAGACACAGGGGAAGTGGAGCACGAAACATTGACCAGACATCATGGTAGACACATGACAGATCATGATGATACTCATGAAATATTGAAACAGGTGCCTGCAGAAGTTTGGTCCCAAGGTCCCACGGACGTGGGGTTGTGCACCTCTTTCCCTCCTGTGTCTTTACAGATGAAGCCAGGAGGCCCGATTCGCATAAAGCAGTATGCCACCAAACCAGACGCTGTCGAGGGTATCTCACAGGTGATAGAGGGACTTACAAAAGTGGGAGTCCTCGAGCCATCAAAATCAGAGTGGAACACGCCCACTCTAGCTGTGCCAAAAACAGGTCAGAATAAATATAGAATGGTCCATGATTTGAGAAAAATAAATGATTTAACATTAACTCCGTGTCTCCCGGTCCCAAACCCTTATACAATGCTGTCATCACTGTCACCAGACCTCCAGTATTTTACTGTTATGGATTTGGCTAATGCATTTTTCTGTATTCCCCTGGCAGAGGAAAGCGGAGATTTTTCTCATTTACCCACAGGGGCCAAAAACTGCGTTACACCCGTCTTCCCCAGGGACATAAATGCTCCCCGGGCATTTTTAATCAGACTTTGAACGCTCTGCTGAGAGAGTTGGTGCTTCCGGAGGGCGTGGTACTCCTACAGTATGTGGACGATCTCCTCCTCGCCTCGAGAACGGAGCAGGCCTGTCTACAAGCCACCAGGGACACTATAGTCTTCTTACATTCAAAAGGATTTAAGGTCAGTAAGGAAAAGCTACAATGTTGCAGGCCTGCGGTGACCTTCCTGGGACGTAGTGTGTCTGGAGGATCCACAAATATGTCTCCAGAGCACAGAGATGCTATTTTGTCATATCCCAGACCCACCATGGTGGGGGACATGTTGTCCTTCCTGGGTCTGATAGGCTATAGCAGACACTATGTGGCAGATTTTGCAGACAAAACTAAACCTTTAAGAGCTTTAGTTAATGAACATGGCATGAGAAACACAAGGGCTAAACTGAATTGGGACAGAGATAGTGAGGCACAGTTTATCTCACTCAAACAGGACCTATCCTCTGCGGCTCATTTGGCTTCACCAGATTATGCTCTCCCGTTCTATTTAGATGCCACAGTGCAGTCTCAGGTAGCTAACGGGGTGTTATATCAAAAGTACAGAGGCCAGAGAAAAATCTTACAGTATATTAGCGTTCCATTGGATTCAATCGAGGCTAGACAGGTTGACTGTTCTAGGTATGCTGCAGGAGTGGGACATTTGATTAAGAAAACAGCACATTTAGTCATGGGCATGCTTTAGAAATATTGACTGATCATGGCGTTTGTGCATATGTTGTCCTCAGCTGCCTTCACTATGTCACCTTTGAGACAGTCACGGCTCTTACAGGTGCTCACTCAGCCCCACATAACTTTTACACCTCTTGGCATTAACATGGCTGACCACATGCCAAGACAGGGTGAGCCGCATGACTGCAGTGTAAGGGTAATAGACAGTCTGAAAGTGCGACCTGACCTCCAGACTGACCCACTTCAGGACCCCGACTTACAGCTTTTTACAGATGGGTGTTGCTGGAGAGAGAGGAATGGCAGCTTGAGAGCGGCATATGCAGTTGTCAGTGTTAACGGTGAAAATGTTGTTACAGTAAACAGCTGCGTTTTAATTGACAAACCATCAGCTCAGGCGGCAGAACTAGAGGCTCTCTGCGCCGCCTTGGAGTTTGCTAAAGGTAAATCTGTAAATATTTACTCCGACTCTGCGTATGCTACTCAGGCTGTCCATTTCAACCTCTCCGAGTGGAAAAGAAACGGCTTCTTGACTGCTAAAGGCCGACCCATCACACATAGAGCCCTGGTGGAGAGGCTGGACAGCGCTCTCCAGCTTCCAAAACAGGTAAGCGTCATCAAGTGCCAAGGGCACTCCAAGTCAGACAACTTTGAGGCCAGGGGAAACGAGGCGGCGGATGAGGCCGCAAAGAAAGCTGCCAACTACAAGGTCAGTACTCCAGGAGTGTTTGTGGTTCGGGACGAGGGGCCAGACCTGGCAGACTGCCTGCCCGATCTGTCCCTTCAGGTTTTAGCTGAAGCCCAAACAAAAGCAGCTCCTGAAGAAATATCCATGTGGGTTCAAAAACGGGCAAAGAAGGATCCAGATACTGGCATCTGGTACGGCCCTGATGGCCGCCCCGCCCTGCCCATGGGGGACCTCTCACGAGCGGCTTTATCTGAGGCACATGGGCTAGCCCATGTGGGTCAGGTACAGATGCTCAAGAATATGTCACAATGGTGGCATCCCTTTAAGACAAACATGATCCAAGATTATACTAGGTCCTATCAAATATGTCAAAATTATAACCCATCGCCCTGCTCAGCTGTTTCCCCAGGAAAATTCACACCTGCTGCTTGGCCTGGAGCACATGTTGTGATGGACTTCACAGATATGATCAACAGGTGCGCAGGCAAGCGGTACCTGTTGGTCATCACTGACACCTTTACGGGATGGCCTGAGGCATATCCTGCTGCAAAGGAGGATGCTGCCTCCGTAATCAAAGCCTTAATTCAGCATTACATCCCAACGCATGGCTTTCCCCAGTTAATAAGGTCTGACAATGGGACGCATTTCAGGAACAAACACTTGCAATTGGTAGAAAAACATCTGGGGCTAAAACATAAATTTGGAACAGT